AGACCCACATGGCCCTAGTCCCCGTGACTTGAGCTGGGGCCTGAGCCTGACGCTCACCCTAAGAGCAGGGGGTGCGGAAGAGGGGACACACAACACCTTCAAATACTCCATGTGTCCTGTCCTTCTCCCCAGGCTCCGTCCTTCTCCCCAGGTATGTCTGTGGGGTCAGTCCATGCCCCTGTTTCTTGGGACACTGATGTGACCCGATGGGGGCTGGGAGGGGAGCTGGGGGCTTGGCTGGGCAAGGGGCAGTGTGTTGAGGGCTTGCTGGGGACCCGCAGGGGAAGTTGGGGTTCTCCCACCTGCTTTGGGGTGAGATCTGTTTGCTCAGGGACAAGCTGTGGCACCGGTGGGGTTTCTGTGTTTAATGTGTCATGTTTGCAGATCCCCCTGCTAATCCAGGGTCAGGGCTCAGGGCACCTCCTGCCCACAGAGGCACTGGCAGGCTGCTGGGAGGAGGTTCTGGGATGTTTTCTCTGGAAGCCTGGGTGGCTCCAGGGCAAGGCAGAAGCTGTCTGCATGGGAAGGGAGGGGAGTTGGGCTGGAGATGGCTTTGGCATCAACAGGGTGGTACATGATGAGTTGGTGGAGCTCTGGGTTCCATGCAAACATACCTGTCATCCAACTCTGGCTTTTCCAAGCAGTCATCAGGCTTCCCAAATCCTTCTCCACATCCTGCCAGCTGTGTTTTGGCTCCATCGTAGCTGTAGGCTCCGCACCTTGCAGGAACACAACGAGGGAGGAGGTGAGCTGTGCCCAGAACCACGCAAGCACCCACAACAAGGGACAGGCTCTGCTGCCTTTAACGCATACTGGGGCTGGCAGGGACTACAGATCCCAGCATGCTGCTTCCCGCCTGCCTCCTCCCATACCTGGCAGGGTGCAGGCAGGGATGCTGTAGCCGGCAGCAGCGGTGCAGCCGGCTGAGGGGCATGCCCTGGGGGGGCCGGGGGCTCAGCACCGAAAGCTCCGCTGCAGATGAAAGCCTGGGAGAGGTGCTGGAACACCCCATGCTGTGCTGCCCGGACTGGAAAAGGACAAGGCAGGCCTGTGGCCTCTCCAGGCGGCTAATCCCACCCTGCCCCAGGAAGAGGAGGGGGGGTGGGGGAGGGAAGGTCCCTTCTTGGGGCTCCTGCGGCTACAAGGG